CCCCTCCCGAATCGAACTGGGACCACCACACTTACCTATCAACCCAGCCAGACTTCCCCTTCCCGAATCGAACTGTGACCACCACCACTTACCTATCAACCCAGCAGACTTCCCTCCCCGAATCGAACTGGGGACCACCAACCACTTACCCTATTCAATCCAAGCCAGACTTCCCCTTCCCCGAATGCGAAACTGGGACACACACCACTTACCTATAAACTCAAGCCAGACTCCCCTCCCCGAATCGAACTGTGGACCACCACCACTTACCTATCAACCCAGACAGATTCGAATCGACTGGGCCACCACACTTACCCTATCAACCCAAGCCAGGACTTCCATCGAACTGGGACCACCACCACTTACCTATCAACCCCAGCCAGACTTCCCTCCCGAATCGAACTGGTGACCAACCTACCACTTACCTATCAACCCCAGCCAGACTTCCCCTCCCCGAATCGAACCTGGGACCTAAGTCTCCCTGTCCTCCACTTCTCCACCTCCTCCCAACACAAGCTCAGTGACTTTACTGTCGACAGGACTCTCCCTCTAAATTTTCCCAAATCGCCTCGCGACACTATCCGAAACACTCTTTATCTCGCTTCACTAACCAAATTCGACCCCTCACTGCGGGGGCTAAGTGAATAACTCTCCTCTCTCTCTCATCATGTGTCTGTTTCATTTCCTTTACTCCCTTTCTGGGCCAGAGGACCAACTTGAACGCGACTCGAAGTAACCATTTTTTTTCGGGTTATTGAAATAAAGGTATTGGTCGAACATTTATTTGGGAGGTATAAGGAGTAATTATTTAGTTAGACTCCTAAGACAAAATTCCTTCCTCGACATTTGTTCTATGTACTTTTGGGAGACCTCTCGACTCTACAAAGAAAACTCGTATAAGTTCTTATTAACTGGCTGTAAACTAAACTTAAGACGTCTGAAACGGTTAGACTTGAATACTCCGTTGTATGGAGTGGGAGACCGGAAGTCACCTTTCAAGTGGGGAGCTTGGTGTTGTAATTTTGTGAGACTGTACATAACATTCACTATTGTGACTAAATATACAACCGAATTTATTGTGTATCTTTAGTCCAAAAATAAAAATTACTTCATAAAATTCTGGCATCAAATGACTGACTCATGAAGAAGGTATAGAACATGAAGAAAAAACAAATGTAAAGTCTCCCGTTTATGACGTGAGATGATGTAGATTACTTGGGATAATTATATCAATTGATACTATAATACTTCAAGAGATGATGATTATATGGAGTAGCTACTGTTTTTCACATCTTTTTTGGGATAGATCTAAACACGACTATTTATGAAAAATTATATATGGCATTAAAGCCTCGATATTCCGCGTGGACTTAATATTCGTCGCGTCGTCGCCGTATGGTGAGAGCCAAAGGTGAAAATGAAAACGCGCGATGGACAGAGCTGAGAAAAAGGCCGGAAAGGGTCGAAAAGGACGACCTTGGGCGGCGAATTTCAACCCCCAAGGCGCCTCCCGGTATCTCGGGTATCTCAATTTTCCACCACCTGACATTGGCCATTTTAGGTATCTAAATCCTCCAGGGATCACCTGCAATCGACATTTTTAGGATCTAATCGGCGTGGCAATATATTCGGTCGTCGCAGCTTTTTATCCCTTTTTCCGCCCGAATATTCAGCTTTTAATGCCATGAACATATTAAACATTGTAACTAAGTAGAGAAAATGTGGTATCATAGCAACATGACTTACCTACTGAGAAGGTATAGAGATATGAAAGAAAAACAATGTCAAGTCTCTTTAACGTGACATATTAGATCAGGATAATTATATCACTCATTATGAGAAATATATAAGTTATCAAATTGTAAATAAAACGACCCTACACAATATCCAAAAATAACATTTATCTATTAGGAACTATAAATAATATCCGAAATAGGTTACCGAGGTTCGTGAATGTTTATGTGGTATGTATATGCTAGTATTTATATACATTACCATAGATGACACCTGTTATGGCGTGTCCTCGTTCAAGCTATCTAGTCGCCGAAACTCCATTACATTAATTTGTGTATTCCTGGCAATAAATGTGTATTCTTATCAAAACCGTCTCTCCTGATTGAACTAAGATTTGTCAGAAAGTGTTTCCACTTTAATTGACTGGGCTCATTAACACATGAATACTACTGTGTGATATATGTTTACGTGTATATTTAAGAACAGCACAAGTTTCATGTGTGGGACATATCTCCATTATACTTTTTGAATCGACTGAGGGCCATTTACAAATGGACAACGAGCCGCAGTTTAGACCCCCCTGATGTAGTTTATTGATATGGAGTGGTGTAGATAAGTAGTAGAGTACTGCATCATATATATTTAAAATCAATTAGAGTTATATAAATTCAGTTGAGTGCAATATTGGCCCTGGGAAATGTAAAGGAGTAAAAGCATAAAGTAACAGAGGTGGAAGAAGTACTCGGATCAAGTAAAAGTACATAAAAATACCTTGTTGCAAGTAAAAGTCATTCATTTAAGTCGAGGGGTAAAAGTCAGGTGGAAAAAGTATAACTATGGTTTTAAATACTAGTCAGGGTAGGATTTTCACGGCGGCCATGACGGCCATCGCTGTCGTAGCCCCTCGGTCTGGCCGTTATGCCCCACAAATAATTGTACGTCCTACGGCCTCCATGGCCTGTGTGCCCCTGATACTGTTAAAATCTCAAAGTTGCTTTAAAAGCGTCAGAACAGTGTTTTCTGAACTGCATTAGGCTCCGTTCACAACGGACGCGATGCGAATATTCTCATCGCTCTAACCGCTGGAGTTTCACCGCGGCTGTCAGCTGTGTTTACTCCTGTCATTCAAACAGGACGCGCTGGAGAGGGGGCGGGGCTTATTTCAATGTAAATACTGTGGTGGAAACCAACTACGACAAAATTAACCTATTTTACAATGATTTAATTGTAATACACTTTTCAAAATGATGCTGAAGTAACTACACACTGATACCGGTTAGTAAAAAACATGAATTAATGCTTTGCCAAGTCTGCAGACAAGACGGCAGACGAAACACCTTTTAAAATGTGTGTTTTCTGAATGGATCAATCAGGCTAAACTAACCTGTAGCTGCTCCGTCCACACTCACAACAACGTCCTAAAGACAGAATTAAAGCAGCGATTGTATTCGCCATGACAGTCTGTGGTTTGTACATGTTTAACTTTTGTCCAGTTTCTGACCAAAGCTGTGAGGAGTTGATTAAAGAGACTCACGCACACACGCACACACGCACACTTCACTGTGCACTGCTGAATGATGTACGTGCAGAGTTAGACCCTTGAAGGCTGTTTCTTCTGCTCTGAAATTGAATATATATATATACAAAATGTCTAGCAGAAGTAAAAGTACTCCATATGGCTAGACTAGAATTCCCCTGATGTGCAATAACTAAATATAATACTTTCTGCAATATACCCTCCTGCAGTTTCACATGTATTACCATGCTGTACATATCTGCTGTTTCGTGTCTTACTTATTGTTGTTATTAGAGTGAGCATACAGTCAACAACCAG